CCTGTTCCACCTGGCGGTAGTAAAGCCCCACTGCGGCCCATGCTCTGCGGACTCTTGCTGTCATCAGCAGGGCCTTGTCTCCCAGGCCTAACTTGGCTACCCATGTTTCGATGGCCTGTTCTGAGGCCCAAAGGAACCGAAACTCTTGCAAGCTCTCCACTCCCAAACGGAGAAGGGCCTCCACTACCCCATCATCCAATAAGAAGTTGTCACCCAACTTCCTAAGGACTTCTTCGGGGGAACCCTTTTCCAGGGGGACTTTATCAGTCTCCATGGCCTGATCTTGAGGACACCCCTCTAGCTAAGGCCCAGGGATCCCTCCCTTTGACTGAAAACTGCGCCTCGGGTCTCCCCCGTGCAGTGTGCTCGAACGGCCTGACATGACAGATGGGACACTGTTTCGGCAAAAACTAAAATACAAAACATGCAATGATTTGAAATGACAGCATAGGCATCGCATGAACTCACCTTCATGGAATCCCCTGATGGTGTCAAGTGTTCCGCTGGAGTCCCCCTCCTGCTTGTCCGACATACCAGTGCAAAAATAAATGAAAAGGAAACGAGTCGCTCCTGAAAAGTGCGGTTACCACAGTGGACCCCTCACTGTAACCTAGCAGCACTTATTTTTCAAACGCACTCGATGTCACTGCTGGGGGCGGTCATGCAGGCTGGATTTAAGCTCTTATCCAAGCCCCGAGCTGATGAATTCGGCTCTCCATGGCCGGAACGGGCCTATGCAGCTAAATCAGCGCAATGGACAAAAATTCGGCTTGGTCGATCAGGCCGGTGGCCACCATGATGCCGGTGCTCGTCGGAGGCACTGGTCACACCAGGGACGCTCCCAGGCCAGGGCCTCATAGATGTCCGTGGACATGTACGGGTTCACCAGGCGCTTCGCCTTCCCGTCAGCTTGCTTGTGCTGGCACAAGGTGATGCCATCCTCGACCGTGACATGTGTGCTGGAACGCTCTGTGGCTGCATACCCCTGGGGTTCAGGATGCTGTGTTCCCACGGCTGTGTCCTGGAAGGTCTTGTACAGCCACTTCTTCATGCCTTGGTCCTTGATCACCTTGTGCAGCTCTGTGTCTCGGCGACTCTCCACAAAGTTGTTGGCCTCCTCAATGGACTCACCTTCCCGCAAGGCTCGGCAGAGGGTGCCTAGATAGGCACCACGGTGCCTCCCTTTGATGCAGTGCACTAGGACATTGTCTCCGTGCCAGACCGTGTTCTTCACAGCTGGCCACACATCTGTCCATTGCTCATTGCGCTCCTGGCTGTAAGCCGCCGCAAAGGTCATCAGCTGAGCCCCCGGGAGGGTCACCCCCCTCCGGCTCTCAGGACCATGCGGGAAGCAGCAAATCTGCAATGCCGTCTTGGGGAACTTATCCACGGTCTGCCGCGTTGGAAGTCCCGCCAAGTAAAGGCCACCTCCCTTCCGAGACTGCCAGATGCATGTTGGCGCCTGGGCTGTCCCTGAGCCAACACCCAACCTTTCGAGGTGCATGTCCAAGGTATCTCCTGCCGCCTTCCCACGGCCTTTCTTGGGCATGGCCTTGATCTGTGGCTTTCCAGGGGCTGCCATGCGCTTGGGAGTTGTGGCTGTCGCCATTGGCTTGGGGGAGGTAGCCATAGCTTTTGGAGGCGTCTTTGGGGCTGCAATTGCTGGCGCCTTAGGCGGTGTCTTCGGTGCAGCTTTGCCTCGGGCTCTCTTAACGGCTGAGCGCATAGCCTCTGCCACCTCGTCATCGGTTGCTCCACTTGCCACGGTCCTCTTTCTGCCGAACTGAGCCTTCGCTCCAACGGCTGCCGGCACCAATGATGCCGAAGGCTTAGGGGCTGCCGGGACTGCGGTCTCAGCCAGCACTGCGCGCTTGATGCGGCACACACCAGCGCCGTGTTTGCCACCGCATGCCCGTCCCGATTTTTGTAAGACGGCACATAAGTGCACTCCGAAGGGACAGGAGTCTGCTTCGTTCGGGCACGAATCCGTCTGGTAGTCTGGGCAGATGGCCTTGCCGTTCTTCAAGGTGGCTGTCAAAACTTTTCCTTGAAGGCGGTCCGGCATTTGGGGGGCCGGTGCCGCTTCTGCCTCCTGGCGGGCTTGTTGCGCGGCTTCGACGAATTGTTGCGACAGCTTGAGCCTCTTCTTCACATCCTGAAAGTTGTGTGAGGAGGCCCACATTGGTTGCCTGTCCTGCCTCAGCAACCGGTCTGCCTCTGTTAAGCCGTGGGCTCGGGCTGCATCTAGCTCTGACTGCGGGATCGCCTCCCACAGCAGGTTGCTAGTCAGCTTTGCTGTCGCACCCCAGATCAGTGACTTCACCTTGATCGACGCGGCGTATTTGGCCGACGAATAGTGAAAAGCCATCGCACCCACCTCTGGCACCTCGCCCTTGGCTTGCCAGTCGCCCAGGGCGGCCATTTCTTCAGGCTTGCATTCCAACAATTGGGCCACAGTGGGTGCCAACCTTCTCCAACTGTAGGTGGTCAGGTCTTCAGGATTGTCGAGGAACACAGACATTTCCTGTTGCATCGTTTCTTGGACTTCCAGGATCGTCCAAGGGCGTCCTTCGTCCGAAAAACAAAGACCTGCCAGCCTCTGCCTTGCCGGTGCCAGTGTTCTGTAGGCCTCCAACACCTCCTTGGCCCAAAAGAACCCATTCGCAAAGGTTGCCGGCACTGCAAAGTCGAATCCCTCACGAGCATGCCTTTGTTTGCCTTTGGGGCACCTGCAATGGAGGAATGCCGCGGTAAGGCGTCGAGGTTCTGATCGAGATATATGCGCATACCTCAAACAGCCAAACGCCATAACCCAAGGGGCCAGGAGGACTGACCACCTTTCATCGCCTACCGCATGCAGTTCCATGATGCGGTCCTCCAAGGCCTGCACCAAAGGTGGCTCGACCACAGGAGCCTGCCCACGCTGCCCAGTCGCCCTGGGTGTTGTGGGAACTTGCAGATTGCCCAGCTCAAGGTCTTGGTCGGCATTCTTGTTCATCCACTTCAAAGCCTGGAGTGCCCGTGCTGGTGCCGCTGTGTGGTTCAGGAACTGGTCAAGGTCGACCATTCCGGGAGGAGCGGGTCGCCCCCGGCTCTCCAAGAAGGTCCTCAGCTCCAACCAGGTGTTGACCACTCTGTCAATGGTGGCCTTCTCAGCGTCCTTCACCTTCTTTTCAGCGATCCTCCTGCACGTCTGCTTCCATTCAGCTTTGAGGGTGTCGGTCAAGATGCCTGCTGGCTTGTAAGCGCCCATGCCAACAAACATTGAGACCACGCCGTTCACCCTCTTCTGGACGGCTTCACTCAGGTTTTTGTCGACGTTGATGGCTCTGGGCTTCTTCTTATAGATCGTCTTGCGCACTGGGCGCAGAGTGACGGAACCCTTGGGGTGGTCCTCCACGACTTTGGCTCCAGCGGCAAGGAGGGTTTCTTCGACCCTTGCGCGTCTGCAACCAATCATCAGCGACATGATGGCCAGCGAGTCCAACGACTTGATCGTAGTCTGTGTAGGCATAGGCAAAGTCATTGTCATCCAGAAGGCCTTCGTTCTCCCTCCATTGACGGGCCCTCTGAGCAGCGATCATCATCAAAGAGTCGGCCGCCCTCCATCCTGGTGCAGGGTCACCCCCTGACGAAGATGAGGCTGCCGCCTGAGCTGCGTAGTAGCCTTTTCCGCCTGATGCCATGGCACTGCAACCTAACAAAATTGCTAAGGTGCGGAGAGCAAAAAGATGCTGCGGTGACTCCAGAGGTGCCTCCTCTGTCATAGCTTCAACCTTCAGCGAACATCTTCTTACGGCCTCCACAAACTGTGCATGGCTGCCTCCATGTATAGCAGTCACTACACATGCCAACGCAGCAGGCCCAACACACGCGCCTGGTGGGGTCGCCACACTCCGTGCATGCTGTCCCCAGATGCTGGACTCTGGCCTCTTGGCTTTCCAGCCATCCACAAAGAGCTCGATGAGCCCTGGCGCCCTCTCTCCCCCATGCCGGCCAGGGTCGCCCCCTGGGGGCTCTGGGGAAGTGACGCGGCTCGAGGAAGATGGGCAGGAGCTCGTGCGGGCCCACACATCGAAGCCAGGTCCTCCATTGCTCGAAAAGCTCGCCCAGGCCCAGTTGCCCAGCGTCACCCGCTGAACATCTGAGCTGGAGTCCATAGAGCTCTTGGGGCACCACGTCATCGGCCACCTTGAAATTCGTGTATGCCGAGACCAGCAGGAGATCCATGGGTTCTTGGTGCTGGTAGTAGTACTCCCAAGCATCCGCAGGCGCCACAGCATCAGGCAGCACAACTCCCCGGCTATTCCACAAGCCAAGCCACGGGAACTTGAACCCACCCACATGAGCTGCGCAACGTGGACATCCATCAAGGCAGCAGGGCACTTTCGGCAAGGGGGGAAACATCTCTGAATCCGTTCCAGTAGTGATGACATAGGGGGAGTGCAACACCTCGATACCATGCATCCAGCATGTGTATGCTGCCGGGCCCAAGCCCTCCCTTGCCAGCCTCTCCACGTGGTTCTTGAATTCCAGAAACGCAGCCGCATGCAGGATCTTCGCCTCAGTGGCTGCTGGAATATCAATGCCTGGGAGTTTGCGCTGCATACAAGGTCACCCCTTGTGTTGAGTTTGAACCAACCAATCAAGGTCAAGTAAGGTCGCCCCTTACAACGACCGAGAAAGAAACAGCAAATGAATGCTATTTTGGTTCAAGTTTACTTGAGCCAAAATGATAGCATTCATTGAACACTTAAAGATGATACATGCACACCCAAGCCTGCCAAACTCGATGCATGGGTATATTATACAGTATAATCATACATATACACCTTTATATGTGATATGGATAATTGGGATTAACCAACACCCAACTGTAATTATGAACCATTTGGGTTTGTGTGAACATGGTTTCATGGCAACAAAATGATGGTGAGCACATGGCTTCGAATACTTTCGATGATTTTTCCCCATCGGGTTTGAGGTACTCAGACTCCAGCAGTTTTCCATGAGATCATCTGCTGTGAAGAACATTGACAGCGGCTGATGCGTCATTCGCTGCATCCGCCTGAGTTTTAGTGTGAAAAAACCACCCCCCTCGATTCAATGACAGCATGGCAACAGATGCACCATGGCCTCTCGAACAGCATTTCCTCAATATCCTGCCACAACTGCCACAAGCGAATCTCACTCCCAAGGATGCAGAAATATGCAGAATGATGGCTATCAGTGCTTCTGAAGAAACACAAGCCACCAAACCTTCGGGTTTCGATGAATTCCTGCCTGCTGGTTGTAAAAGGATGCCAAATCCTCCAGGGTGTTGCCATCCGCCTGGCGACGAAAAAAGCATCGCCCTGGCGTCGAATGAATCTGCTGGCAGAAACATGTCAGTTCTTCGTCACGTTGCTCTGGAGATGCTCCTGCAAACAAAAAAGGTGCAAACCAAACTGCTGGAAGAATCGCCGGTGATAAAAATCTGGATTTGGAATGATTTGGATAGGTGTCACACACGGAAACAAATGATGGCCAAGAAAACAGCAATTTTGCTTGTCAATTTTAGAGGTAAACTATTAGGAATATTACACATTTATCCAAACTATATAATACATGATTCTTTCCTAACATGGCCACGATCATTCCCAACATCATTATTTATCATTCTTATCTCTTATCACTATTTATCATCATTACTCACCATGATCACTAGGGTAGATCACCATGACTGTTATCATAATTACTAATACGATACAGTGGTATATAGTATATACATGTAGATACAATCATATACTCGTCGCGTTCATGCACACTCGTTTCTCGTTTCTTTGATCATACACAATTCACTCTACAACTGTCGCTTGATCAGCGTCGGTTCTTTTGTCACCTGAAAAGTCATGGGGTCACAGGTGAGCAAAGATAAAATCTTGAAATGCGATCGATGGCAAGACTGATTGTGAGGCTGAAGCAAATTGAAAATCCGAACTGTCACCACAAGAAAGAGAGCCGCTGAGACACATCAATCGTCATGGTGTCACGAACGGACATCAACAAAGCAACTGACAAAATCAAAAGATGAAATCTCAAAATAGCCCCCCAGTCTGAAATCGCAATCAACCTCACCCTTTCACAGGGTGGGTTTCTTTGGGTCGGGACAAATTGGATGCCTGGTGATCTCTTGAGCTAGTCACCAAAATGGCATACGGAAAAGAGGTTGATTGATCAATAGGAAATAAAATGACATGATGATCAAAGACATGAACAGACAAGTAACTCCCCTCTCCTGACCAACCAACCGTTAGATGGGACCTACTCGTCGCGTTCATGCACACTCGTTTCTCGTTTCTTTGATCATACACAATTCACTCTACAACTGTCGCTTGATCAGCGTCGGTTCTTTTGTCACCTGAAAAGGCATGGGGTCACAGGTGAGCAAAGATAAAATCTTGAAATGCGATCGATGGCAAGACTGATTGTGAGGCTGAAGCAAATTGAAAATCCGAACTGTCACCACAAGAAAGAGAGCCGCTGAGACACATCAATCGTCATGGTGTCACGAACGGACATCAACAAAGCAACTGACAAAATCAAAAGATGAAATCTCAAAATAGCCCAGGCCCCTGCAGTCAGAACTTACCTATCGAAACTTACGAGCTCACCCGGCCAACATGCCTGAACAGTTTTCCAGCCTACTTTCTCTCCCGTGGAGAGGTCGTCTCTAGAAGGCCAATCGGCTGGATTGGCATCAGTTGAAACTCTGTCAATAAAAACTCGAACTCGAAAATCAAATATTAAATTCCAAAACACAGACACGAGCGTGCACAAGTCTGATTGCTGGAGTATCCTTTAACAAGAGCGGACTCCACTGCTTCGGAGTCGATCAGCAAAATCAGATCAGTGCCAAATACGCGCTCGCGAAAGGTGTATAAAGCTAAAATTGGGGCAATCATTTCAACAGGAACAATTTGAGTCTTCCTGGGAGCCCAGTTCTTCTGCATCTCTTTCGGTATCACCTCAGAGAACTGGAGAGGAGCCTCCCATCTCCTATCAAACAAAACTGCGCCTACTCTATCCGGTCGAGGATCATCGTCTCTCGGATCCGGTGTAAAACCATCTGTAAAAATTACTACATCAGGCTTCTTGATCTTCTTCATCTCGATCGGTCGAGCAGGACCAGCTCTGATAAGATGTCGCCAGTGCTCCAAAGCAAAACGCAAAGGCTCGTCCAGTGCAAAGCCAGAATCACCGACTGGGAAACGAGCGTATTGACGTTCAGAGATCACGCGCAAAAAGGCGCGCCCCACTTTTCCCCAGAGCTGGCTCGCGCCAAACATCAGTTTACCTTTCAACTTCCCAGCTGTACCTGGATCCAGGAAACCAGAGCTTAAAATATAGTCGATCTCCTCGATCAGGTCAGACTTGCGGTCTTCCTTGATTTCCAAAACAAAATCGCAAAGGTTGTAGGTGACACCAAGGATTGTAGGCGATCGACTCAATTGCAGCTTTCGCTGATCAAACTTCGCACCCAGCCACCAGTGAACATGTTGGGCGATCTGATGGGCAGATTCCACAGTCTGCACAGGTTCAAAACCGTACTTATCATCATAGAAGCTGAAAGCGATCAGTCCAAACAAAGAGATGAGGATCTCGTTGATAGCTGCCGATCGGCGGTTGTAGTTGTACACGGCCGAGACCAAACCAAAGGAATGCCCGATCATCACGAAGAAAGCAGTCTTGCCAGAGGGTGGTTCCTTCAAAGCAATGACACTGAACATGCGGTGGTCAGGTCGTATAGGAACTTGACGGTAAGCTTTTCTCTCATCCAAAACCCAACCTGCCAACTCGGAGCCAGGGCACATTGCTCTGAGCTTACGCAATGCAGCAACGTTGGAGTCTGTGGACGGCAACTGAAGCTTCTCGGTGATCACCGTGGCTTGGTTGATCAGGTTAGTTGTTGCACTATCGCAACCCCTAACTTTATTTTTCTGAACAACTTCAAACCTTTGAGTGGGGATCCAATCATCCCTACCTACTAAATTAGAAACATCTTTTTGATCAAAAACCGGGCCTATGCACGAGCCTTCATGAACATCTTCCACAGTTGCATCCCAAATCTTCTTGAGGTTCTCTGTGATTGGCACAGCTTGCACACGTGCAATGATCTTCTTCCGGATCTCCCAGGCCCTACTTTGCATCGAGGCGACCGCCACGGGCGACTGCTCCTTCTCATACGGCGGCCATCTGCCCGATCGCAGAATCGGCCCAACTATCGGAAAACCAGAAAGCATGCAATGAGGAAGATCTTGATCAGCCGAATTGATGGCCGCAAGCATCAGTTTGTAGAGCACGAGATGGCAAGTAACGCCCAGCTGCGCAGGTTCATGGTCCGGGACCCCCCTCAGCAGAAAGCGGAGAGGGGCATCCGGGATGCGCCGCAAAATCTGATCAGTCGCCTCTAGAGAGGACTGAGCGATCGCTCCCCACTTATGCTGAAGTGCTGAGCGCCGCTGCAGAATGTGCTCGCTGGAGGAGGCGAACTGTTGCAGAGCCGCCTGCAAGCCAGGTTCCACGGCAATCTCGGTCGAGAACGGGTGATCGATGCTCATCGCCCACAAGATAGCCTGACCAGGCTCAGATTCCACTTCCAGCAAAGGTTTCATTGCACCACGTTTGAGCTGATAGCCTGATGCCGCCGCCAACTGAGCAGTCAGATGTTGGCGATGGCCTTCCCAGTGCATGGCCTTGCCCAGCAGACGCTTGCGCTTGCCTGTGCTGAGCAGTCCGAAAGAGGACACCATGAGCTGCAAAGGGCGCACGCGAACAGCTGAGATGGCCTCTGCCATGGCCGCACAAAGCAGGTGTGGGTATTCTTGAGCAAGCTTGGTGCGGTAAACCACTTTGCCAAAGAACTCGCTGTATACTTGTCCTTGAAGAATTTCATGAGCATGATGACCCGGGCAACGCCTATGCAGAGGCGAAAAAGCCGCATGAGTCACGCACAGCGAGGTGGGCTTCATCGAGGGAGCCCCCCACGCACATTGATCAAAATGGATGAGCCAGGCGCGAGCACACCGCAGAAGGCGTTGTATCCCACGAGTGCTCCAGATCAAGCTCTTTTCGGGGTTTTCGATAGAAAAATCACCGCCCATTTCAGCTACCCCTAAACAAACTTCGACAGTGCGATCAACAAACAGATTGCCGATCTGCGAAACCAGTTGGAGCCTGAGAGCGCTGGCAATCCCTCCGGACAGGCTGGGCTGCGTAAGGGCGGCGGCCCCCCGTCCGCTTTGCGAGCTGCAGAAAAAGTATTACATGGTGTACCACAATGAACAAAGAAAATTGCCCCCATTTGCACGAGCTGCATGATAAAGGTCCAGCGATCAGCATCAAGGACATCAAAAGGATCTTGCACATGCTGGCTGATCATCACGTCAATGGGGGGTAAACAAGGAATTCCCATCTGGCGGACTGCTTCTGTCAAACGAGCTGTCCCTGCAAAAAATTCCAGAAACCAAGGGCCTTGAGCTGGAACTTCATGAACGTTCCGTGGAACGTCTGCCCAACGGAGCCACTGGTGGTTCTGCTGTGCCACCGGAGCTGTCGGAGCCTCAGAGTGATTCGGACTCTGGAGCTCCTCATTCGCCCCAGCATGGGCCCCACAAAACTGATCACTCCCACCTGGGGGGAGCCAATTCCCAGATGGGGGAGCCGAGCTGGCTCAGTGATTTCCGTGCCATGGATGCTCCTTACCACATTCTACACAGGCATGTAGGTTGCGGCAAGAGTCGCCGAACCGGCAGCCCAGTGAACAATTGTAGAATGGGCAGCGCCGCTTGCCTGAGTACTTGAAGGCGGTGATGGCTGACCATTCGTTGGCTGGCACGCGAGCGTCTTTGGAGACTTTGGACTCCTTGCGCGCGCCCTTAGGATCGGCCAAGGTGGCTTTGGCTCGAGCAAGCACGGCTTTCTGCCTTTCGCGCCGAGCTTTGTTCTTCTTGGCCTTGGGCGAAGTTTTAAGAGGTGAATCATCCTCTTCAAGAGCGCGCTTGGGAGCCCGTGGTGGTGTAGAAGGAGCTTGCTGACCAGCCTGCTTGAACTTGTCCAATTCTGCGCTGCTGCGCGCATCATTCCAAAGCTGCTTGTGGTTGGCCAAGACCTCGAGCAGGGCGGAGGAGAACGTGGGGAAGGACTTCCTCTGATCATGGTTAAGTCGATGGACCTTCTTGCGGATCAGGGAGTCGACTGTGAGCAGCAGCGCCAACCCCTTGTTCTCATGCCGCCACTCTTCGAGCTCTGAGAGGTACTTCAGGGGCCCGCGAGCGGCGGTGAATTCGCAGATATTGAGGTACTCAAGAGCCACGAAGAAGGCATGAAGCTTGTCCATAACCTGGCTCTCTGAGGCAGCCGACACAGGTTGATCAACCGTGACGACCTTCAGCAAATCCTCCGCATTCTTGGAGATGCCCGCTTTCTGAACAATCACTTCGCTCCGCGTGCGCAGTTCACCCACCTGGTAGAACATCACAGCACCATGAACAAGGTAATCACGTTGGATGCGTTCGACCAACTTCCTGTGAGGTTCTCGGTGGGGCGGCAACAACACATCTGGGTGTTTGTGCACGAACTGCTCGCGGAACTCTGCATGATCTTCACCCGGAATTTCGGGTACCTTCGAAGGATCCTCTTCCATCTTGGCACGCCGAGAGGCGAAATGCTCTTGTAAAGTCGAGCATGTCTTCCATACTGCTGTCAAATTGGTGAGTGCCAACTCCTGAGCAGCCGCGTCAGCACCAAACCGAGCTGGGTCAGGGACGATGCGGTTGAGGGTCTGCTTGACACCGGTGATGTTGTCGCCGAGCATGGCAAATGTGTCCATGGTGCGAAGGCCTACCTCGGCTGCGAGCAGGCACAGATTCTCTGGAAGCCGCTGGCGCCCGAAGACCTGCCGCAATGCTAACTCAGGGACTTGGTCATCCGGGTAGGTAGTGCGATCGACCATGATGGCGACAAGCACAAGACCCGCACGGTGCTGAGCAACACTTGCTGCGGCCCTGCGCGAGTTCACCGACGATCGAGCGAACACTGATTATTTGTAGGAGCTGATGGCTGATTGAAACCCTCGGCTCCGGCAAAAAGAACTTTTTCACGCCACTTCTTATTGATCAGGACTTACTGAAAAAGCATGCGATCTCTGGCCTTGCTTTGGAGCAGGCTTTACAGAGCACGGATAAATCTGGCAAAATGTCTCCGGACTGGCACTCATCGATTGCAAAACGCCGACATGCAGTCTGGGTGCTATCATCAATTGAGGGAGCATGAAACTTATAATCATAGTAGGTGCCACCCCCGGGATTTTTGATGAAAAATTCCAAATTATCTAAATCTTGATCAGAGGCATCAGTGAGAAGAGTCTGGGCATCTTCTATCACGGGATGATTTTCTTGAACCATCTCTCGAACAAGTTGTTTGATCATGGTGGCTGGGACAGATGAACGATTACGAGTATACTTCAACACCATGGGACCAGGGTTTTTCCAATTGGCCTGTAGGCCGATCTCTTCCGTGGAGCGCCCAGCATGAACAGCAGCATCGAGCAAGGTGACTCGACATGAGTGAACTGTCAGCTTATCGACAGTTTCGATCAGACTCTTGCGATCTGTCGCAGGAATCTCCCGATCGAGCATTATCCCTTGATGTGCAAAACAACGCAACCATTTTACTGTGCGCTGGTGAGACGGCGGGCGCTGGTCAAACTCAGATTTCGAGTTTAACTCAAACATCCAGAAATCACGGTCCTGGACCTCCAGCAGCTTGAACAAGCTCCAGTCATTGTGACGGAACCCAACTTTGGGGACCATGAACCTGGTTCCAGCCCTCTTCCGCTCCACTTTGGTCTGCCACGCAACACCGAACAGGCCTTCATCTTGCATGATCAATTCAGCAGGCTTGACATGGATAGCATCGTCAAAACGCAGCGATGCAAAAACCATGCAAAGGAGCCACCACACAAAGATCCTCGCCTGAGCAAACTCCTTGGAGTTGACGACGATTGCTTCTAGGGTGCGCACCGCTGCGATCGGGATGGGCACTGCTTCTTTCAAAGTAGTTGCGCGCGCAGAGACTATCTGATCTTGGATGGCTTTCAGCCGCTGGTCGTCCAAGTCAGGCAGGTCGATCGCTAGCCGAGAGGCCACCCACTTGACAGAAGTCTTGAATGCTGGCACAACTGAGGGGCCACACTCACGCTGATCCAAAATCAAGCAGTACTTCAAGATCTTGTCGACTGTCAGCGGGTACAGCACTACTGAGGAGGCCGCTGCCCAGTGCTCGAACTTTTCAAAAGCTCGTATGTGAGCTGACATAGTTCGGGGAGCCCCTGAAAGCAGGACGATCTGCCTCAACCGCGCCAGCTCGGGGGGCGACAAGTCGTCTCTCTGCCCCTGCTGGACAAGCAGTTTGGCTGCCGATCCGGCACGACGGCCAATAGCCTCAAGCCGAGCAGCCCATTTGGCTTTCTCATTGTTTTCTTGATCGAGTAATGGCGTCAAGGAGTCGCTAGCTTGTGCTAAGCCCTTGAGCTTCTTATTTGGCGCTTTTGGGCCACTGAGCAAAGCCCTGACTCCAGCTGACTGCCGAAGTTGATCAAGTGGCGATCCCTGAATATAGGGGGCTTGTTTTATTCAAAGAACATCTTCTCTGCTCTAATTGCGAGCGACCAAAAATTTTCGAGCTGGCCAGAATCTTTCAACAAAACTTGAACGACTGCTGGGTCGAAAGACCCTGCCCACTCAGCTACCTTAGCTGAGAACTCTGCAGCCGAGCTGACTCCCATGGCCGATACAAATGCCAGGTTAGCCAACGGTGTCTTGGCGATGGCCTGAGCAAATGCATGGTCAAACAAGGGGAGCGACAGGATCTTAAGGGTCCACCTATCAACTTGAGCCATGATCACTCACATGGGGTGCACCATTCAAAAACATGAGCAACCAACGGTGAGAAGGGCAACAAGTTGACCACCCGGTGACACCGCAAAAACAAGATACCAAATCAAAACCTATTATCGGCTATGGACTAGGTATCATGAAAATAGATCTCAAGAAAAACAGAATCTTATTCGAATGAGGGAGGGTTGAACAACCTAAGAGTGGAGCACGGAAACCCTGAGAGCAATTGACAAACTCTACATCGAACGTGCATCTACTCGCAGGCAAAAACATCAACTCCTTCCCGTTTGCACATTTGATCACGTTTGTCTAAACAGTGAAAATGCGATGCAACGACATCGAATGTCCACGGGAGTCAAAATTGTGATCATGCCCGTAATGCCGTGAACAGCCATCAGCTCTTACTGCATGATCAACAGTGTTCGACCGATCGATATGATTGAGCTCCCACAACTGCACTGGGCTCTCGAACCTGCAGTGCAGAGCGGTACTCCAAAAACACTCCCACTCACTTGGAAAAGGGGGGAGACAAGTTTGAAATAAGGTCGATCAAGACTGTCAACTTGCGATCGCAAATAAACACGCAATCAATCTCGAAAGACCCTGAGCACTCGAAATAGCGTGCAACATCCAATTTTCATTTATATAAACCCTTGAGAGGTTGAAAAAGGAAGTTTGATCAACGAGCATGCCGCAACCTTGACGCTGCTGGCGCTGCTTCATTTTGCCGAGCGGCGAGTCAGGCGCCGTAAATTGTGCCGAGCTCACCCAGTCGGTATTCATCAACCGAAATTGAGCAATGTTGAAATTAATGCATGTCATGAAACATGAACTGATGAAATAACTCTCAAAAACGCCCGACCTAGCAGTCCTCTACCTGTGCAGGAGGCCCGAACGACCGAGGTTCTGTCGGGGTCTTCAAATTTTCGGAGCCATCCAGAGATCCTGAAAGCATCTCGATCTGGATCTCAGCTGATGATGCTGATGCCTGCTGTTGAGGCTCAGCTCGAAAGGTCTGCACATGTTCCAAGAAACCTGCTGGTGTGAGGGCTGAAGAGTCAAGACGCTCCGCCCGTCTCTGTTCCAGCGATCTGCGCGTTGGAGCCAGCGCCCCACCCAACCAAGAGCTAGGTGTAGGTGCCACGCCTGGCTCTGTCAAAGAGGGGAGAGCTCCATCCGATGGCAAAGGCGCCACTGTCAGATCTGCATTGCCCACATAGCCTGTGATGGCTGCAAGCCCTTTTGGCTGTGCACAGGTAGGCTGAACAGCCGGTCCTCCTGTGATAGGAGGCAAGACCACCGTCTCCTTCTCATCGGCCAGGCTGTGAGCTTGCAACGCCAGAGCTTCCGGCGGGACAATCGCACGGTCCTTCTTGAACAAGGGTGACTCGCAGATCAGGTGCAAGTTGGCTGCATTGCTCTTAACGGCCACAGCTGAGATTCTAGGTCCAGTGTCATCTTCGCGAGCTGCCTCCACGTTCACCGTCCAATGAGCATGGATGCTAGCAAGCTGAGCCAACTGCAATGCCTGGTCAGGCGATTCGATGCGGGCATACTTGGACCTGCACCAGTTTGCATTTCTGATCAGGGTTGGTCCTGACACTCGGCTGACCACCAACCACGATGGAGGCACTGCACAAGTGCTTGCCGCAACATCAAGGCGATCGCCAGCACTCAGGAACCTGAATTCTAAACGATCTGCATCTAGGCCAAAAGCGTCTTCAGATGACGTCGCCACGATCCTGCATTCAAAGTGGCAAAGGGGGTAGTCTGCAGCTACCACGACGCCACCTTCTGAACAGACGTACAGCCTGCCTCCAACTTCCCATGAACAAGCAACGACACGCCATTGTTGGAAGATCGTCACCACGAACGTGGGGATGAAGGCATTCTCCTGCAAAACGTACATGAGATGATCAGCCACATGGTTGATCTGAACCGTCATGTCACTATCAGAGCGATAGCCCCTGAGCTCCAGGTGGATGAAGAGCTGTCCCTCGATCTTCACTTTGACATCCACACAAGTGGGAGAGTCATCCCGCATCAGAAGCCAGCGAAAGGGCTGAAAAGCCTCGTGCGAGAGCACCTTGCCAGTGTCTTCATCCCACTTTCCACATGGCACGGGGCCGTAGGAAGTCATGGAGCCACACAACACCAGCTTGAGGCCATCAAGGGTCTTGAGCATGAACAGGTTCATGTGGTACACAGTGGAGGGCGACCGCACAAGAGCTCGATCGCTCAAGATGTTGATCCTTGCATTTGCGTTGATCAAAATCTCATCCAAGAGCCACCCCTGGTAAGGGGACTGCAGTCTATTGTCCCGGCTATCCAAGACCAGAACTGATCTCTCATTTTCACCGGAACCAACCTGCTGCAGATGCTCGGGCAGGCGCACATTGATAGCATTGTGAGCGCCCATCTGATTGTACCTCACCGAGCGGCGACCTGATTTGGCGGCCTTGTCCTGCTGCTCTCTCAAGCGCCGAGTGGCAGGCGTCTCATTGGACCTATCCACAAAATTTCGGGCAGCTTGTGTCACAGGAGCTGCTTGAGCAGGCTGAGGAGCGTGTGGCTGCTCAGCCTGACTTCCACGACCTTGATCAAATTCCTGGTTCCAAAGGTCAGCTGATTCAGGAGGAGCGGCTGGTTCAGGATCCTCATCGTGAGCCATGCGCCAAGATCCCAAAGTGCCTGCTTCAGAGGCTTGCCCATCAGCAGCCCGAGCGGCTGGGGATCTGCTCTGCATCATTTTGGCTTGGTTGGCGAGAGCCCGGGGCATGGCTGGAGGAAACTGAGACATGGAACCGAAGAAAAAGCTAAGTGATCACCCAGGCCCTACTGATCTATGGGGACAAATTGGATGCCTGGTGATCTCTTGAGCTAGTCACCAAAATGGCATACGGAAAAGAGGTTGATTGATCAATAGGAAATAAAATGACATGATGATCAAAGACATGAACAGACAAGTAACTCCCCTCTCCTGACCAACCAACCGTTAGATGGGACCTACATACTTACATCACTATTACATACTATTACAATATGGCTATTGACTGTTACCGAGGTCGTTGGGATGGCAAATGTTTCATCACTATGATCCCTACTATTTTCATTACCATTCTCGTAAAACTACTGTCAGTCTGATTACCGTTACGCATATTATACTGTAACTATTATTACTATTATTACTATGGTCCCATCATTTAGATCATGGCATGATTGTCATTATCACTACACTATACTGGACTATACTACACTATTATCATCAATGCGGTAAACACAATAAAAAGCCATTCCATTCACCAAACATTTTGGGGGTGTCATTTATGGTCATTTTACATCATTCCATTGTTCGGGATATACCCAAGAATAAAGCTCTGTTGGGGATGGTCTATTATTGGGTTTCACACACTATGAGTAGTGACAAATGACCCTATCCCATCTTATAATACTGGTTGGATTGTAAATATTCCTATCATATGGGTTGGAGTAATCCCCAATTAGCCACTTCGCAAATCATAGCCTCCTGTATTCATCCACATAGGTATTTGGTGGTCAAGCCATTTAAGACCCAGGATGACCCAGGGGACCATCTAATTCTTGGATTGGCTGATTGGGCTACCGAAATTTCACCCAGGCTACCGTGGATGGTTGCGAAATCCTGCACCACCAAAAGGACGGTTGAAAAATGTTGGAAAACTATAAATAATATATTAATTAATAGTAAATAATGGGATAAACTCGGATAAACCATCAACTGGTGCGGGATTTCGCAACCATCCACCGTATCTATCTACTGTTTGTCATGCGCTGCGCCTCGCTCCAGCGCAGCTTCAACTGCACGCCGGTCCCCATGTTCCACGGCCTTGGTGAACAACGGATCGTTGTGGGGATGGATCAAACGAGGTTTTCTAGGGACGCAACGGGTTTTTCTATGGAAAACAATATGAGAACATATCCCATGACGGATCCATGGTGCTGGTATATATGCTAACATGACTGGGGATGACTGGGGTATATTGATGGGATCCATGTTACCATATAATATAGCAGCACCATGGATCCTATGGGTATGGGAAACCATGAGAAATTCTTGGAGACAATGTTTTCATATGGGAAATTTCATTGGAAACTAAGGGAACGGTCAACGGACTTGACAATTCACACGAACCCATGGTGTTTGGCAATCATAGAACCACCAACAACAGGGATATCTTGTGTGACAAACCTGAACAAACCATGGTAGCACATGTGCCTGAATGGGGATTTTACTCTGTAGGGACCCTTGCCCTACAGGTCGACTGTATCAGAACATGTCACAACTATCTTATGCCTTTAAAAACTTACATAACTACCTGCAATGAAAAAGCATGTGCCAACGTCAAGTCTGCACCGGTCTAGCAATTCACCGTGTCTGAGTATCTGTCCTTCACCAGAATTTGACCGTAGATGTACTTTCTCAAGGCGACTTTGAGCTGAGCAAGTAGCCTATCCGTGCCAATTCCATTCATATCCCAAACCCTCTCTGCGAACTTCCGCAGTCGTCTCTCATCATTCTTTCGCGAAGATGTGGCAAGGGACCAGTCGATTCCATCAATTCTTTCCTCCCAGGTTTGAATGTCCATTTCAGTGCTTCCTAGGGAAGCCGTGGAAGAAATCCGCAGCTTGTTGCTGCGAACAGCCATCATGGCCTCCGTCAAAACCCAAAGCCGAGAAAAGCAAAGAGCATCTTTGTCCAGGATGAGCACGACTTCTTGCACTGCTGCAACTGTGGCTTGGAGAGATTCAATGGGCGAATCAGCCACACCAGTCACTGATCTTTGAGATGATCTTTCTGGACATTCCACATCTTCCCCGAAGATGTCCAGATTGTAGCGCCGATCCAGCTCCGCCCCGGCATCCTTCACCAAGCAATCCACCAGGGCCTCGAAGTCCGCGTCCCAGGCGTGCGCCACGTGAAAGCGACTTGGACCACGAATGGGGCCACCGGTCAGTGGATGGCGATTGGAATCTCCAGGATCCATTGGATCCATTGGGTCCATTGGATCCAGTGGATGATTTTCATCACGGTGCGGTACACGACCACAGAGTGTTGCGATTGGTACACCGCCATTCTCTCGCAGCATAGCAGCAGCACGAGTAGTGGGCTGTTCTACTTTGCTTCTACAATGAACCAAAAATGAGACCAGGAATGCAGCACTGACACCAGTGGGTTCTGCAGACCCCAGGAAGTGGGGCAAACGTGGCAAGCTTGTGTTTATTCGATACCTCTTGCTTGTGGAGAATGTCAGGCTGTCTCTGGAACTTGTAGAAAGATTGCTTGGTGTTGTTGCCTGAGATTTTGCAGCCCTTCTCTGCTGCAGCATCTTCAGTAACTTTGCCTCACTTTGCGATGCCTGTGAGGACAAAGGTGGCTGCATCATGGCGAATATGGCGAAGGTGAAACTCTGAATTCCTTGCACAATGCGATACAAAGCGCGAATTCCGGCAGCTGTGTGTTGCTTCAATGCCGAGATATTTGTCAACCATGGGACTCATGGACCTCTGGAGATGGGTGGCTCCCCTTTTGGCTTTCAATACTTGCCGGCGAGCCACGATGCAGCTTTTAATGAGACATAATGACAATGTTCAACAAATTTCGAAGATTTTGAATTGACTCATTCCTGCAACATAGCTCTTTTTTTTGTGTCCAGCACCACCCTCCGTTTGACATTTAGAACCATGACCGAAGACTGATGACTTTCTATGAGCTAAATGCCGCAGTGCCAAGCTGAGGGATCTGTCTTAAAGGACCCTGCAGACAAGTCGTCGTGAGTCGAAATGTGTTCCATGAAGTCTTCTGATGAAATTCGCTGGCAAGTTGCAGTTAGCAGCTTCAGATTCTGATCGTTGCAATTCCTCTTCAGCACCTTTTTCCAATGAAGCCGCAGCAATTCTTTTTTTTCTCTTTCTCTCTCTCTCTCTCTCTCTCGCCCTAGCCCACTTATTATGGGCCATGAATGGCTATGAAATATGCACAATCGAGACGTGATCCTGGCTTTACAGGTCAACATCAATCCTACCTTTGGACTGCTCTGAAAGTCCCAACCAATAGGTTTTGATGATATTAGATGCCTTTTTTGAACGGATCCGATGGAAATTTGAAATCCAACCAGGGGAGTAAAGCCAGTCTTATGGTCTCCGCCGCCAAGTTTTAGCGGCTGCATGACTCATTGGAAATGCCGCAGTATTCTGATGTTGATGCAATACTTGGGGCATCCGAAAGGTGCACCCCGGTTGCAACTCCGATCTTTTAGTGGGATCAAAACCTATGAACGGACGCATTTTCTTGGGTGAACATCCATAAATCCCATCTACACACAGATGGAGGATTCCATGGGTGACCCGTAGCCATATCTTTGGGCTAGTGACTACTTAGAACTAGTGTACATCAAAGGCTGGCATTCGAGGTATGTGGCCAAAATGCAAATGTGGCGCTTCCTCACTGCCGAGGAGGCGAACATGGCAGCGGTCAGTGGTCAACACGAGTCCACAGATATCCAAGTTTCCTAAAATCGGGGACCCCAAGTTATCCAATGTCTTTGGTGGTTTTTATAGGTTTTTATTGGGGAAACCAATTATCTTGTTTTTTTTTTGGGAGGCTTCCCCTATGTTTTGGGGAACACCGAACCTCTAAGCGCAGCACGAGTTGTCTCCGTATGCCACGGAAAGCCCACGGAACGGCGCTGGCGTCCACCTCGTGGGAGGTCGAATCATTTTTACCTTATAAACCATATGGAAACCGCTATAAATGATGGTAATATCCATGGTAATATCCATGTAATATCCACACACTGACTGCAATGTGATGATTCAGCTTGCTGCTGTTCATCTTTTTCAGTCCACGTCTTGTGTTGTACATTCAGATTCTTTGTTCTAGGCATACTGTAAGCCCTTCCACTGCGGTTTATATGTTCTTCTTCAACATCTTTGCACATAAAATAGAACTAAAGCTGCGATCCATTTGAATAAGCTGCCCGCATCCACTGGTTCTGGTGGCACTGTAGACAAGATGGACAAGCTTGTTGACCTTGCCTTGTTGCCTAAGCGTAAGTGACAACATGTCTGTTCCAGCAAAAAATGGTACAAACCCACACCACTGCAACATATCAGAGTATATTTCATACATATCGAATCAACTTTCTACAATTCACTTGCAAGATCTGTCCAGAACCTGCGTTCGAATCCTTTGTGTAAATATGTGTAAATAATTGTTCGCGGATTTCTACGCTGGGTTTGCAACACTGTTGCGACACAGTTGGCCGAGACAGCACCTCGCAGCAGTCTACGCAATTTGGGTGTGTCTGAAAATGGGGTGCCCCCCAAATGGCAATTTTAATTGGGATAGTATATGAAGATATAAAGATATGAGATAATGCTGATATATGCTGATAAATCGAGAGATTTGCAGTACCATATTTTCAAACAACCCCATTTATTCTGCCATGTTTGGCCTGTGCAGGACTCGATGTCCGCAGTTTTTCGGGTCGATTTGGAGAGCTGCGAGCCACTTTGGGCGCACGCAAATTGCATGCCGCACAGCGTTAACCTGCTCAGAATATCTCAGAATACAGCCAACAACATGCTGTCCATGAGAACATTCCTTGACTTGTTGAGCTACCATCATCCACCATCTGTATCTAGAGCAAAGGAGTGAAACTGAGCACATTTGCCGCGTGTGGAAACGTGCTGTATGGGTGAGACGATCAAACTGGTCTTGTGCTTGTTGATATTTCGGACAGACTTCGAATATGATAGAGGTAGACAGTTAGACACATCAGAACAACGTTCTTCAACCTATAGGATTCACTTCCACGGCATTTGTAATATTTTGTAACCCATAGGATCCATGTATGCTATATATGGTAACATTTACCATCAATATACCCCCAATGTGAGCATATATGCCATACATGGATCCTATGGGTAATAACTAGTATATCGTGTATATCCAACACTAGCAAGGTATACTGGATGGAAAAATACAGACCTGGACTCATCTGCCGTCATCTGCCTGAGCTACTCCTGTACAACTGGCAAATCCTTCGGGGGTACCATGGATGGCCTTAGTGCAAACTTGTGCACTTCGATCTGGAAAACCCATGGTTTCCTCTGACAATGCTCTGCAAATGATGGGTTTTCTTCATGGTTTTTCCATGGCTTTTCCACATCGAACTGTTAGTTTTGCAGGAGAGTACCCTCTGGTAATTTAACATAACTATGGAAAATGACCATTTATAGTGGATTTTCCCATTAAAAATGATGATTTTCCATAGTTATGTTAGTTTACCAGAGGGTAACATTCCTATTGATTTGATGCCAAGTCACTGCGCAGCTCCCTGGGAAAATGGCGCAAAGGCGTTGAACCATTCGCTCCGCTGCTCCTGCGAACTCGCAGCCAATTGCAGGATCCATCGCCCAGACTTTTCCTGCCGGCCGTTGAACGGGAAAAAAATATGGGAAACACCGGGCAAAATTGGACATTTTTATTAGGACTATAACACACACACACCATAATCTTGACCCTCTGGAAATTTAATAGGGCAAAATTGGACATTCTTGATCATTTTTGCTTTTAACATCTCTTGACGGCAAAACATCATGGGACAATCATCGACAACTGGGTGATTTTCCATTGCCAGGGCTTTTTCACAGAGGGTAATCTACAGTTGAACACCTATGAGCAGGCATTTCGGATGTTTCCCTCAGTGGATTGGTTGAGTTGGTCAAAATCACAGGAAACCATGTTTTTCCCATTCAAATCGATAGTGGTCCTGGAGTCGAAATGTGATACACCTCTCATTTTTTTATTTTTTTCTTGGGACAATATTAGATGAGGTTCAAAAAAAAACCAAACCATGGGGATTTTGGTGTCTACCATAGGACTTTGTACCAGACTTCAGCGCGGCCTTGTCACCTTTGTGCGCCAAAGGACCAGGTTTCACAGCGATGGTGAAGGCAAAGGGTCGAGCTGCTTCATCTTCATCCAGTTCCCTGACGCAGTTTTCACATCCAAAATGCTTGGAAAATGATGGAAGAGGTTGGAAAAGAGCTGTTCATCTTGCTCATCCCGCATTCCGAATACTCCCTTCCTCCTAATACTAAACGTCCCCCAAATATTAAAAACAGGCGTCCAGATCCAATTTCAAAAAAAATCAGATTGGCCAATTTGATTTTTAATTGATCCCCTTTAGAAAACAATTTAAAAATCAACCTACAGTACCATTTGTGGGTTTTCCCCCTAATACTAAAAACTAGTTCACCCCGGGGTGTTAATTATTAGGTCCTTCCGATTTTTTAGTTTTTTATATTATATAGGATTCTTAATTTAAATATTAGGGGGAAACTTCGAAAACCAATTTTTGGCAATATTTTAATTGGGTTATATAAAGAAATTTAATTGATTTTGAGATTGGAAAAAATAGTTTTTATTATTAAGGTTTTTAATTTAGTATTAGGGGGAAACTTCGAAATCCAATTTTTGGCAATATTTTAATCGCGCTATATAAAGATATTTAATTGATTTTGAGATCGGAAAAAATCGTTTTTATTATTAAGGGTTTTAATTTAATATTAGGGGGAAGTTTCGAAATCCAATTTTTGGCAATATTTTTAATTGCGTTATATAAAGAAATTCAATTGATTTTGAGATCGGAAAAATAGTTTTCATTATTAAAAATTAAGGGTTTAATTTTATTAATAGGGTTCCCTAATAATAAAATACCACCCTTATACTAAAAACTACCTGCCGTGTTTATTATTAGGGGGCGTTTAGTATTGGGAGGAAGGGATTATGGGAGATCCATTACACGCTCAAACCACATCCAAGCAATCAAATAGGAACATGAGTTGGCATGAGTTGGCTTCAGTTGGCTGAGGCAGTGGCCGATGTATCGCACCCTTCTCCAGCGAATAGTCCTGCCAGGATGCCACGGCCATTTATACCACACCGCATATTTTGAGTAAAAATGATTAAAATGTATGAAATTCCCCTAAATTATGGTGAATCCCAGACTGCGGCTCGAGGTGCCTCCGAGCGGGCCCGTCGGCCCATTCCAAACCCTCGAGGGTGGGTGATAGCCATGGTTGACATTGCACCGCAGTTTCAAACTCTGGAAGCTGGACACCGTGTCAGTCTGGTGGCTAGCATGGTTGCGTTTGATGAGGGAGGTTGTAATCATCAGATGTCGTCGGTGGTGACCAAGAACATGTTCAGTTTTGCTGGTAAGCCACCTTTTGTACCATGATGCATGCAGTTGGGAGTCCATCAGGGACACTATCGAACTTTGCTCTGGTCTAGGTGGACTTGGACAGGGACTCTTAGGAGTAGGTTTCAATCCGGAAGCAGCATGTGACCAGAATGGGCTGATGCTGGAGCTCTACAGGACACAACTGGATGTGCCATTGATCCGGGGTGATGTTGCCGATCTCACCACAGTCAAACGCCTGTGGGACGTGTACCCGAAGTCAGCCACTATTTGTGCTGGCGTGTCATGCCAACCCTACTCGTCCTTGGGTGACAAAGGCAGTGGGAGTGACCCTAGGGCGCAGAGCCTACCGGTCACCCTGGCCTGCGCGCACTTTTTGAAGTCAGTTGTGGTAATCCTAGAATGCGTCAGTCCTGCTCAGAATGATGCATATGTCCGCATGCATGTTGATCGTTTCTGTAGGCAGACTGGCTTTCATTGCACGGAGGAGATCCTGAAACTCCAGGACTGCTGGCCATGCTCCCGAAACTGATGGTGGGCCGTGCTGTCTGCCCCGGCCTTGGGTCCGATCAAGATCCGACAGCTGCCGGTGTACTCAGATTGCAGCCAGATCCGACATGTCATGCCATACATCATACGGTGGCCATTTAACCATGAACATGACCTTGCCTTGACAGATCGAAAGAGAGGCGTTTCAAGTTGATCATGAAAATGGATGTCCTTACCTGCTGAATAGGTCTGGCATCCTTCCTTGCCCCTTGCACGCTTGGGGGTCGCAGCTCCGAGCATGTCCTTGCCAGTGTCGCGTGCCCCCTTGTCAGCTGAACGCCTTTTGCATCGAGGGTTGTTTGGGGTTGTCCTTCGGTCTGCCTTTGATCGGGATGGGTTGAGCACTCCCAAGCACATCCACCCATCTGAATGTGGTGCATTGGTGGGCTTGGACCCAACAGCTGATTACGGGAAAATGTCCTTTTGACACTGGCTGGTATCGGCCAGATTGCCTCCCCGATCCAGGCAACATGGGTGGGCGCTCGCGTGATTTGTCACTTTGCATGGCTGAAGGATGGCCCAAAGCCCTTCCATCCAGTTGAACATTTGCATGCCTACCGAACATGGCTGTTGTCACGTTGTAGGAGCGCAACCAGTTAGAGGTTGAATCCAAAATTTGGGAACCTGTGGTTTTGTCAACCCTGCATGACTTGTTGCACATGGATGAGTGGGATTTCTTCATGACTGAACGATGCCTTGCTGCAGTGTTGTCCCAATAAAAGGAAAGGCCACCTCATGAGGAACTTGTGCACCTGAATGTTGGAGCCACTGCCCTGGACTCTGAAAGCGCCATTGGTAAGTCCATGACTGATAGTGAGCCTGATCATGAAGTGCCCGCTGTTTTTGCTGAGGTTCCTCGATTTCAGGTTGTGACAGTCCCTGATGGTTGTGCAACCGTCTTGTACCCGCCAGATCCCACAGTGTCTTTTGTCCGGATTGAGGTAGGCACGACCGTGCAGCAACTGCTTGAAGCAGAAAGTCGGTTGTATGGTTTTGAATGGTCACAGGTCTCAGTCTTCAAGATGGATGGAACCCCATGGCGCAGGCATGATCCGATTTGCCCTGGGCAGATGGCTCAATTGTGTGTGATCCCGCACGGCCAAGCCGGTGACCCTGAGATTTTGGGCTTTCGTTCCCTGTTGGCAGGCTTTCCAGGGGAATGTGGCCAATCCCCGTTGCAAATTTGCCATGCTGACCAAGCTGGGGAATCCGGGCTACTCCCCTTCAGATTGCCGGTGAATGATGTAGCTCGAGCCTTTAGTGCCGGCGATGCCCTTGCCCGAAGCTTCTCTGGTGAGCCCATGCATGGAAGGTCAGGGGTTGGGGAATACGGGCCACTCCCCTTCAAATTGCCCGTAGTGGATCATGCTACGACTGATGGAACCAACAGATCCGATGTTGCAACTGATGGGGAATACGGGCAACCCCCCTGCAAATTGCCCGTTGGCAGGTCTATGTGTGCTGTTTGTGCGTCCAGTGCAGGTGACATGCCCGTTGAGCACACGCCAGCCGAATGTACTGTGCCCCACCGAAGGGTGGAAAGCAAGTTGTATCACCAGGAGAAGAGACAAAGTGCTCCTCTGCTTTTGTTGGGAATGTTTCTGCTGCATGTGTGCCAACTCAGGCTCAGGTGCCGCCTGACACATCAGCTGAACTCTGGTAGCAATCCAGGAGTTGCAGTAGATGTACCCCCAGGGGATTGCGGGCCACTCCCCCACATAATGCCCGTTCATGCAGAAGAACTGTTGAAAGATGTGACTTCCACTCGGCATGCCAATGTTGCTCCTGCAGGGGGTTCTGTTGGAGGGGTTCTGCACTCTGCTGATGTCCAGGAGCCACGGAGTGCCCTTGAGGGAGGCTCCTCCCTGTCCGTGCCTGGCGATCCTGTCACGTTTGCCTCATGGCCTGGTGGTGTACCGAACTGTGCATCCGTTGCCCGAAGCCCTCTGGTGTACTTTGAAGCTGATGGACTGAGCCGTATGCAATCCTCTTTTCCCACAACACAAGCAGTTGTCAACTCGATGCGTCAGCACAGGTACTCACAGTTGAAGATCGAAAGCTCGTCCTTGCCAAACAAGGAGCGTTGTGGGCCGATGATGAGATTGCCTGGCACCTCGCAAACATCCAGCGCCTTTGTGCCCCTCACCTTGAGGTGACAGTTGATTGACCCCCTCCTGGTTTTTGGGTGGGTCCATGTAGGGTATGACATTTTCCATGATTGGATTCAACAGCATTGCCCCAAACCATGCTGCATTGCTACTGTCGTGTATGCCAACCAGCATTGTATCCCTGTGTTCCTCAACCAATGAATGGCACTCTGTTTGCCCATACGTGGGATTCTCAAGCTGCGGGGTCTTTTTGCCCACCTGACAGGGCACTTTGGTCTGCGTGAACATCAACACATCCGACTTGTCAGGATGTTTGACATGCATGAAGGGTGTGGAGCCATGGCTGTGGCCTTCATTGCTCACATGGGTAGAGGTTGGAGCAATGAAGTTGATTGTCTTCCGTGACGAAGCTGAAGGATCCTGGGAATCTTTCATCCAGGCGCCCATGAGGTACATAGTACATCACCTGCCACTGCTGCGCCTCTGTAAGGAGGCCAACTGTGCGTGCCCCCATTGGCACAACCGTGAAGGATTGGATACCCAAGATGCCATCCTTGACGTGTGGCGTCGCCAGTACCTGAAGCCAGGGTACAAGCCCGAAAATGCCGCCCGTGCAGCCATGTTTGGGGTTTTTGTCCGAACCCCCCCCAAGTGTTTGGTGCAACCTCTGCTGAAACAAAGTGGCCTTGCAGGCATTTACACTGAGCCAAGGACCGTTGACGGTCGTGCAATTGATGACACAATATATCTGGGTAAATTATAATAATTCACTAACCTGAATTAAGGTCATTTGGGGATGATTTCCCTTACTAACCATCATTCCCAGTGAGGTCGCAGTGACGTCGTTATAATTTGCCCAGATATATGCCTTTGTTTGGTTGGCCCGAATGGGGCGTGATGCCTTGAACCATGTCTGCCGTACTAACCCGTCTGCCATTGGGTTGGCCAGAGTAGGCTCAGGGTGGGCATCCGAACCAGTGCAACTGAAGCTGCCGCCCTGAGCAAGACCTTGCGCCCAGATGCAGTGTACCTGGGAGCTGGACCCAAACAGCAGCTTTTGGCAGGCCCTTTTCCATTTGGGTCTGATCATGGCCATGTTCTGAAGGCCCTGCGTGCCATGCAGTGGGAGGCAAGGCCATTACAGCCTCTGTCATCCATTGACAACAAGGGATCAATGTGGCTGATCCAGGCAACCGAGGATCCCCGTGCCACATTGGTGCAGACAAGCCCTGGTGATGTGGTTACCTCAATGCACAAGGCGGCCCGGGATGTGCCAGGTTTGCCACCGAAGCCCATAGCATCCAATGCCAGCATTGCCTTGTGCGGCACCCAAGCTCCTGCTGCTGGAAGTGCTGGCAGTACTGCCCGTGGTTGACCACGGACCCCTGGGGAGGCTACGCTCCTCGCGTCTCAGGGGTTGCAGCAAAACCCAGATGCGTGATGATGTGCTGAAGAGCCTCCCTGCGCCAGTGGTCAACATGGAGGCTGACGACACTTTGGATCGCATCCAGTGATTGGAAAGCCAGATGCACACGTTGATGCAAAAGCACACAACATTGGAGACGAACGTGATTGAGACTGCAAACCGTCAGTCCCATCAGCTTGCATCCGTCCAAAGCCAACTGCAGGTCCAAGGAAATGAACTCCGTGGACACATCGAGTCGCAGCAGCAGAATCTGCAGGCTCTTTTCGAAGCCCAGATGAGTCAGATCAGGAGCTTGCTCAAACGCCCTAGAGAGGACAAAGAGTGACGGTGCGGGGCGGCAGCCCAGATTGAAGCCAGTACTTGGATGGTGCTTACCCTGGTGTTGTCGGTGCTGGCCAGCCCGTGGTTGCCTAGCCCCATTTTGCTCACAATTTTGTTTTTCCTGTGCATTTTGCCATGCGGAGTTGTGTCTCCACCAAGGTTTTCGATACCTGTTTCACAAGTGCCGAGTGCCGATTGCGATCTTTCCAGCGTTTTGTGTTCGTGGCCCTCCTGATGAATGGGGTTCGTCTTGGTGAGGCCCTACATCCTGGACCGGTGACCGACTCACCGGGTGACCCTGACAGTTTCTGTATTGGGTGTTTCAATCCTACGGGATTGGCTGGCAAGGCTGCTGTGATAAATGAATACTTGGCTTGGGGTGACGTTTGGTCAATTGCTGAAACCCATTTATCCACTAGGTCGTTGTCGTCGTTCCGCAGAA